GGGGGGAGAAGTCAAATATTCTGGACAAGATGGAAAATGAACATTTCCGTATCTTTATTGTTGCTGAAGAGCTCAGACAAATGATGCGTGGAAATAAGCAGAAATGATGCCAATTAAACTTGATGGCACTACCCCATTTATCTTTGTCTTCTTTTTTCTCCGATGTTTTTACAAGTCGTGGAAAAAAATATTGCTTGAGGTAATACCGGTCATTTGAGTTGGCCTACGTCCAAGAATGTGCTAATTAAACATTCGTATAAAATTCAAGAGGGAAGGGTCTGGCACAATTGCGCTTAGGAGCGCGTGATTTTAGGCAAATTCCTCCGGTTTGCGGAATAATCCATTTTTAGAAATAACTTAAAATAATTTTTACAGAATAATTCATTTTGTGATTTATACATCTTTTTGCCAAGCTGCGTCATTATGAATTGTAAAAGAAAACGGCTTTCTGAAGCTTGCTTACTCTTAAATTTTCATTAAAAGCATTGCTTTTTGGCAATTTGTAAAACAACTGCTCACCTTCAAGTGTCACGGCAGAATCGTCTCGATGCACGCCACTCTCCTCACCGGCAATATTTTGGAGAAATGAAAATGCGTATAATAATATATACATAAGGCACGCAAAAGCAATATGTTGTAGAATCTGAAAATATCCAGTTGAGCCATGCAATAAAACAGCTGTTTCCTCGTGAGTGCAGAAAGCATTGGCCAAAGAACGAGCAGATGGCCTCATTTCGATCCTGGCCCTACCTCGACCCAATCCTGAACTCAGTGTTCAGGTCAGAGATAGCACTGGAAAACGAAATCGATGGGAAACCGGTGAAACGTCGCGAAGCAATATGATTTTGAAAAACTGTTTTTTATCAGCCGAAGTAGCTTGATATCGCAAATCATTGTTACACCACTGAAGCAAGCCGATATTGATGATTGCTCGAGATTGTGTCAAAAATGATCGCTACAACCCGTCCATCCTTCCTTCCCTCCGGCCCTTTCTCCTCCTTCACCTCCCCCGACCCTTTCCTCCGCTTTCACATCCCTCCTCCACAGCCGCATCTTTTCCTCCTCTTCTCGCATTACACAAATCTCTTCGCAAAAAATACATTTTTGATTGATACTGTTTCCGTGAATTCGTCAAAATTCTAATTTTTTTTTCGTGACTAAAATTTGGACCTAGTTTTAAAATTAAGGTTACTAAAATCTAGTATCAAAACTATTACTATTAAAACAAGAACTATTAAAATTAAAATCTAGCGTTAAAACTACTACATTTTATCCTTTGAATTTCAAGACTGTCTTCTTTTTTTGATTACTGAATTATAAAATATACATGATTTTGAGGTTCTTTTTGAAGGCCGGGGTACAGAGCAATTGGAAAGTGTTAGCAACATCCAGTTCCTAGATTCCTTGGATCTTGATCTGAGATATTTGCTTAGACACATATTCATACACACACATACGAACGGATATACACAGACATACAAGCAGAAACATACGCACACATTTAATTTTCCCCTCATATGTTGTACTGCTAGAGAATATCGAATTATTAAAAAAAAAACCTCTGATTAGAGATTTGGAGCAGGATCTGATTAAAGCATAAACTGATTTCAAAAATATTTAATTTGGGAAAAGGAGTAGGCAACAAAGTTTTATGGGTTTTCGAAAAAAGAATTTTTTCTATTGTTCTGAGATGTGCAAGCGCTTCACAGATCAATAATGGATTAATAAGGAGATTTTCAATGCAACCAATCCGATCACTTCCGAATACTTCTACCTCTCACAGAGGCCGTAATGAGTAGAAGGCTTTAGTTTTTTGTTTATAATCAAAATAATCTATTACATGAAAACAAAAGGTATTTTCTATGGTATCGCAGTTCCTCAAAACCGGTCTTTTTAGTGCAACCTTCAAGGTTATAGCAAAACAAACTCAAAATGCTGCAAATTTATGAAAAAAAAACCTTACACATCTTTCCCTCAAAAATTCCTCCTTTTCTCTCCAAAAATCCCTCGGCTCCCTCCCTTCTCCATTCCATCCCAGTCCCACTGCCTCATCCCTCATGTCCCATCTGTGCAACCATAGTTGCACCAATTCTGCTCATTGTCTAAGTGAAACTGGATTTGCAAATTCAACAGAAATTTTGAAAAGACGCGAAATGGATGGATGATGACCAAGGACCAAATCTGTGGACATCTCGGAGGTTCATGCAGACCAGTGGCATTGAATAGAGAAGCGTAGAAGTGTCCAGATGGTCGCAACGCATCCATCACCTCCTTCACTTTCTCATTAAATTTGCATATTTCTTCATTACCACCATCACGATGAACAAGAACTTAAGCATTTTTATCATCACAATCAAAATCTATATAATTAAAAAATTGCCACAATCGCTGCAGTGAGTGATGACATGAAACCTCAGGCAATAAAGAAACTCGGGAAATGGCTCGAGAGGTAGCATATGCAGAACCACCCGCTAAGGCTACCGGCAGCTCTTTTTCAACACTTGCTTTTTTTCAGGCAAGCTGTTGATAGGCATATGCCAACTTATCATCAAGAAAAATGAACAAATGGTTGTCCTAGCAATGATTCAGAACCTTCCACTTACTGCCGTGAAAAACTGAACTTTAGCAAAACTTGCGACGCGGAAATTTGTAAGATTTTTTCATTTTCTTTTTTTTTTGTTTTTGTTTTTTTTTCGTAAAAATACTTCCTCACAAGTAGCGGAGAGGGGACGAGAGAGGGGATCCACTAGATCCCTCATGCCAACAATACCTTTTTATCAGAAACCAAATTCAATAAAATTATCAAAATCCAATATAGAATACACAATTCGGTATCTCAGTCAGCATTCAGACTACAGATTTGGGTTATTAAACTATAACAGTGCTAGATCACGAAATGTAGACATAAACAGTCGAGAAACGAAAAGACTGTCCCGACAAAAATTTCATCCTTCTCAAAATTGAAATTTCAAGAAGCACGAAAAAGCATCTCAAAAAAAGCTCCATTCTGTTTCTTCAAAGTTAGAAATAACACAAACCTAGGCTGAAATGCACCAGACGGGCAAGTGCGATCATGCATTTTTGCATTATTTCGTGCTTTAACAAGATCGCAAGAATTACAGTAGCTAGAATTTGTGGCATATCGGTCCTCGAAGTTGAGGAAATTAATTGTGCTGCTACGTGGCATGTCACTTGTAGATGTCGGCTGTAGTGACCCAACAAATGGCAAGTTCATGGTGCGCGAAAAAGAACCCATTAAGAGTCAAATTTAAAATCTTTTGGTCGTACGTGAGTAGGGGAGATCGCCCTAAAGCTTCAGCCCTCTAGCCTTTCTCTTCCCCAAGTGAGCGATTTCCCGGCCAAAACTTTCACTTGCCCTTACGCGTAGATGCGCGTGAAAGTTGATGTCACATTCTTGGAGTCGCAATTAGCGAGGGGACACACTGGCAAAACTTCAGCACAGACAGGACCGTTGCAATATGCATTTTCGTTCCTGTAGCAGTGGCACTGCACGGCAAAAACACATAATAAATGGCAACGCGCACCAGACTAGA